ATCTAAACTTCCCAAGCCAGCAAGCAAACACTGCGAATTCCTTAGGGTGGTGCCAGTCTCATCCTCCTCACCTTCCCACGCTCCTGCTGGGGGCGCTAAGGAAATGCTTATCTCCCCGAGCGCGGCCTTCCCCAAACCATCCCCTCACACACTCCCACCCTTGTGACCTCTCATCTGGATCACTGCAATGTGCTCTACATGGAACTGCCCCTGAAGAGCATTTGGAAGCTTCAATGGGGGCAGAACGTGGTAGCGCAGGTAGCAAATGGCACCGGTTATTCAGCACATGTAACAGCACCACTCTGTGAGCTGCATTGGTGGCTGGTATGCTTTCAGGTGCAATTCAAGGTGCTGGTTGTCACCTTTAAAGCCCATCATGGCTTGGGATGGGTTACTTGAGGGACCGTCTCTTCCCAGTTGTTTCTACCCATCCGATCTGGTCAGGCAGGATGGGCAAGCTTCGGGTCCGTTGGCCAAAGAATGCTGGTTGGCAGGGCCTGGAAGACGTGCCTTTTCTGCCACAGCACCTGCCTTACAGAATGTTCTCCCTCCGGAGACTGGGATGGCCCCAACCCAGCTGGCCTTTCATAAGACCCTAATGACCTAGTTCTGGACACGAGGGTGTCAAGGAACCCACGTATTGGTTGAATTACTGCTTACAGAATAGGATATTTTCTCAGCTGCTGCGTATTTTAATTTTTTTAATGCTTGTAATTGTTTTTATTTTAATTTTGTTTGCTGACCAGAGTTACTTGTTGAGTTGTATAAATTGGATGGATGGATGGATGGATGGATGGATGGATGGATGGATGGCCGAAATAACAAATTTCACATCAGTGGCTTCTCCATTTAATACTGACCATTTTCTTCCATGGTGGGTAGTGCCGCATCTTTCCCTCATGGAGGAATGGTTGGTGAAATTGACAGAAGTTGCTGAGGTGGACAAACTGAATTCTTTCATTAGAGAAAGGACGATATCTACATTTATTGGGGACTGGAAACCCCTTATGGACTTTTTGCATAAAATTTTGAAACAATGAACTTGTGATTTATGGTTTTGATGATTAGACAGGATAGATTAAAGAAAGGAGAGAGTC